AATATAATGTAAAAGACAAAATAAACACATGAAAGGGCATGTAAATTCCTTCCCATCATTAAAAATAAAAAGTATAACTAAAGTTGGGCGGTGGTAGTGGTGGTGCATGCTTTTAATCCCAGCACTGGGGAGGCAGAGGCAGGTGGATCTCTGAGTTTGAGGCCAACCTGGTCTACAGAACAAGTCCTAGGACAGCCAGGACTGATACACAGAGAAACCTTATCTTGAAAAAACTAAACAAACAAACAAACAAACAAAGTATAAATTTGTAAACACACATATATGTACACACACTCACACTCACACAGACATAATAAATAAAACTAAAGATGTCGACTTAGCTGGGAAGATAGCTCAGTTCAGAAAGTGTCTGTGGTGCAAATCCAAGTTTGCTCTCCAGAACCAACATTAAAAAACAAAACAATAAACCTGATGTGGCCGTTTATGTCTGTAACTCGAGTGCTAGTCCTGGGGCTCATTTGCCAGGTAGTGTAGCCTAACCAGGGACTTCCAGGACCTAGTGTAACAGACTTTCTCAAGAAACCAAGGTGAACGGCTCCTGAGGAATAAAACCTGAGTTGACCTGTGGCCTCTACATACATGTACACAGACATGCACTAGCACCATGAATGTGCATTAGAATTAGTTGATTTCTTTTTTACAAGTCAGTACTTTGTTTTTTCCTTTAAAAAGGTAGAGATTTCATTTGCTGGGACAGAAAATTAGTAAACTCAATGAAAATAGGTTTAGTAACTATAACTGTCAATGCACAACAACAACAAAAGTGAACAATGCACTCTAGTTTAAAAAATGGACAGTCCAGGCATGAAGACATAAGCCCAGCTCCTTTGTCTGAGGCAGGAGGATTACCTGACCCCAGAAACTCAAGACCAGTCTGAGCAACACACTGGAACACCTAACTCACAATAAGAACATAAAACAACAAAAGAATTTAATAAATACATTTCCAAAGACACATAAACGGTCAATAAGCATTTGAAAAGCTGTTGAGCACCATTAGTCATTAGAGACTAATATCTAGAACAAGAGAGTACTTCATACATATTAAGATGAATTACCAAAAAAAAAAAAAAAAAAAAAAAGCTGGGTGTGATAGCACATGCCTTTAATCCCAGCACTGGGGAGGCAGAAGCAGGTGGATCTCTGTGAATCTGATGCTAGCCTGGTCTACAGATTGAGTTCCAGGACAGCCAGGGTTGCACAGAGAAACCCTGTCTCAAGAAAAAAGGTAAAAAAAGAAACAGTATGGTAAGGCCTCCAAAAATTAAGCAGTATTATCATAGATTTAGTAATTTCACTTGTGGGCGTGTAGCATAAGTATAAACTCAAAGTAGTATCTGTATTGGTATGTTCACAGCAGGATTATTCACAACAGCTTTCGGGAGGAAGTAACTCCAATGCTCACTGATGGATACACAGAATGTGGTGCCTACACAGTGAACTGTTACTCACTCTTAGAGAAAGGAAACCATCACACATATACTAATATGGACACCTGAAGAGAGTATGCTAAGTGATTCTTCTGACAGGAGGTGCCCAGTAATCAAATTCATAAAGACAGAATTCTTAGGGCTACAGATGGAGAAAACAGGAACTTCATGTTTAACATGTTCAGACATTTAGTCGGGGAGGACTACAATGTAAATAAATGTCTGATCTGAATGCCCCAGACCCTATAAACGTAAAGATGCTTATAATTGCCAAGTCTCTGATAAATCTTTCCGCAGCCCATCAACAAGTTCAATGAGCGTCTCAGCGTTCTGTGAGTGCTTTGGTCTGGTTCAGGCTGGCCCAGCCCTCAGCACATCCTGCCTCGGCCCCCCAAGTGCGGGAGCACAGGGGAGGTCACCACACCTGCCAAGATTCTCCGAGGAGTAAGACTGCGGTAATGATCTGAACATTTTCAATGTCCCAAAGAGCAACCCCTTTTCCTCTTTTTTTTTTTTTCCTTTGAAATAAAGTCTTTTACAGGAAGGCTCTCAACTGAAAAAATGAGGTAAAAATTCAGGATTATAGAGTTGAGTAGAGGGGCAGAAAATAGAAGAGATTATAAAACAAAGCAAAAGAAAACACACAAAAAAACCTTGTTTAGCTGTTTCTTCCTCTTTTTTAGTCTCCTCATCCTCTAGAGTGGGACTTTCCCGGGAAGAGTCTTCCTGTTGGCTAGAGTTTTTCACTAGGACAGGATCAATTTGTGCTTTCAGGAGTGCAAGAGTCTCAGCCAACTCGGTTCGATTTCTAAACAGGGGAAAAAATAAGACAGCATAAAAATCTTTCTGAGTCTAGTGAACTCTGAGAACAGCACCTACTGGAAATTAAAATAAGGGGAACAACACAATGATGAACATCAACAGTCTGGGAGCAGTCTAACAAACCCCCAACTCTAAACCTAAGTATTCTGGAAAGAACATACATTAAAATGTCCTGTCCATCAAACAGAAATGTTATTTTCCTTACTGAATAGAACAGCAGCACACAACACTGGAGGGAAACAAAGGTAGGTACAACATTAAACAAGTCAAAGGTGAACCCTTTTAAAGTATTTTATAATCTTACAGAGATCAGTGTAAACCTTGCTTGTGGCTTTTTTAACTCTTCAAATTTCTGTGTGTGGTATGTTGGGTATTTTCCTTAACCACCTTCCATGCTTTATTTATTTATTTATTTGGCTTGTTTTTTTTTTT